AAAAAAAAAACCGCCTTGGGACCTATTTTGTAAGTTTCACTCAGAAGAGCTCACATTGAGATAAAGGAATATGCCAAGTATTTTCTCTGCTTAATTTAATCTCTTATCGGCATCCATGAGATGCCTCGCTTTCCTAACTGAAGCTGAGAATAGGGTCGCCCAAAGCTCTGGTTCGGTATTGTGGGTAATGTAAACAATTCCTTAGGTTTGATGTTGTTTGGCAAAAAAACTTCTGATTAACATCAGACATTTTTTTGAAAATAGATTAACATCAGACGTTAAATCGTTGTTTTTCTTCTTGCTCCAGTGTTTGGCTGTGAGAGTCGATTCCTGTCAACCATCTTAACAATCATTTGTGAACATTGCTGACCATCGGTGTTAAACTCATTGCATTGGATTCATCTCTTAGACAAAAAGGGAGAACTTCATCAAGGTTTATCTGTCAAACATTTATTCACTATTGCTTTTATAGGCAAATAAGCTCTAAATAAATAGCCCTTCCAGGCAGCGCTATATTTACTAGTGATCTGTTTAGAATTAGAAACTGCTATCCTAACTAACTACCTGAGCTACAATTATAACATAGTAAAACAGAGAATATAACTTCTTTTGAGAAAATATTCCCTATGTTATATAATTGCTCTTTTGTTGACTATTTTCAGGTAATGTCATTCCTTTTTCCTGTCGTTTTAATGTGTTTTTTGCTTTTTGGCTTCGTTCGTTTTAATTAGAAATTTTATCTGAAAAAAAATTGAGGCTCTCGATCTCTCTCTTTCTTTAGGGTGGGGATGTAATGGGGACTTGCTCTCTGTCTCTCTCTCTCTCTCTCTCAAGCGCTGTTGTTCGTACCGCATTCTGTGACTTAGATAATAATGTTCACTGTAGGTGCTTTGCCGAAAGCCCTTTGTCTATGCAAACATATGATACTGTGGTGGAGTACAAGTCCTTGGACTAATTCAGTAGTACCAGTCATTGATACATTGGCTACAATCCTAGTGTAACAATGGATTGAGATGGATAAAGGTTGAGCTGCAGCATAGTCATCTGACAATGGCTATAATGATGTTGTTGGAATCTAAATTCTTGTGGCTAATGGAAGAGCAAGCCATCAGTTTTTCTTCCTCAAGAGCCAGCTAGATTTGTTGAAGAGCCCATTATGCACTGTTCCTTGGTGGTTAGCATGGTATCTTGCAGCTTTGGCTTTGTGTAGGCAGGGATAGCATTTCTGTTCTGCATATTCATGTGATTTGTGAAGTCCAAGACATGAAGAAAAACATCACACCTGTGTGATTAGCAATCCTGCCCATTAATATGAGAGGCTGTAGAAATTTGAAATGCCAAAATTAGATTTCTGCATTGTTTAATCCAAGTGTCATTGGAATTCATCTCTTTGGAGCTTAATTAGGCTTTCGTCTGTTGCTGTTACCTGGGGCTCAGTCTGAAGAGATATTGGCAATATTTTGATTGTGCCCCCAAATGAGTAGTCTTCAATGTCTTATTTGTTTAACTGCCACAAGGCTATCGCATTCTGCATCTGCCTTTGGTGCACTCAAGTTTCAGAAGTAAGGGTAGACAGCAGGAATAATTAACTGACTATGGCGTTTCTCATTTTATCACCTTTATTCCTTGGAACTCAGAAGCATTGTTTGAGAGTTTTTAGGTTCTCTCAAAGAGACTTACCCCCTATGTTTGAGTTCCTATTTTGTAGTTTTGTCATATTCTTTCAAGAATTTTACCGTGCACAGTCTGATGTTGATGGTCGTAAGAAATGTCATAACGTGCAAAACTCGAAAGTGGAGTAGTGCAGTCTACTCCTACATTACTTTTGAGTTACATTGAAGATTGATTTTCTTGAATTAATGTACTACTGCTATTTTTCTGTATATGTCACTATTATCAGAGTTTGGCTAATTAATTTCAACAAAAGAAGAAAGAGAATGCTAATAGTAGTTTTCAATGTTTTTAGCGATTATGTTGTAGAAAGTTAATGTGTGAAATGCACATTATATTAGATTGCTACTAGTTGAAACATAAATAACAGTAATGCAAAGCTAAAAAGAAAGTTTGAGTTTGTTATTTCGACTCTAAAAAAACTCCTACTGCCATCAGATATTGATATTCCTGGTTATAATTCGAAATTGCCCTAATATATGACACTTGCTGAGACGAAAGCTCAACTAAGCCAAAACAAAATTGAAATCCAGCAAACCAGAAAGCGGAAAATAGAGAAATTTCGTTAAAGGGTAAGTCTCAAACATTATCAACCAAAAAAACATGCTTAAATCTATAGCATTTTACTAAGCTGCTAATAAGATTCCAGTTTCTTTGGGCAGAAAAGGACATGCCACAATCGTGCAGAGAACAGATTACAAGTCGATCAGTCACTTAGATTGGAAAGATCTAGATTTCAGGAGAAATATTCAATCTCACGACTCTAGCTTACAACTACACTCTTGACCTCAGACCCGATGTCATTTAGTTCATTTTATTGAGCTATGACTTGTTTTCCTCCTTGGTTTTGTTAGCTTTAACCACTTTAGAACCTCAACTTTGTAACTTAGGTAATCAATGGAACCTCATATTTATTTCTAAGGGCACTCTAGACAGTAATCGTTGGCAGCACACTCACGGGGAAAATCATAACCGATAAATAGCATCAAAATGACAGTGGTGAGTCTGAATTTGATACAAACAGAAATTGAATTCTTACAAAGTCAAGGTTTCCCCTTGGTAATTTTGCTGTATTTGGTGTTAAATATTATAATAAAAGAAAAAAAGTTGGGTGATTTCCCATATCACAACATAAAGTATCAGGTAGATCCCATAAAGGCAGCAATACATTTGTCTTGCTCGGAATCTGTGAATCAGCTGTTTTCTTCACAAGAAAGTCCCACACCAAAACAACAAGACCAGGATATTCATTCCTATAGTCAAGTTGGAGCTTGTCCCTAGTTTTAAAAGGGACCAAATAGGACAGGAGTGAAGACAGTCCAATTGGAAGGAGAATGACACGGCAGGATTTTTTTTGGTTCCCTAAAAGACTACAACATAAATAGCCACAACAAGGTCCAAATATGACATCTAAAAGGAAGGTGGTTTTTGTTACTAGATATTCACCTCCACTGAGGGTTGTTGGACCTCTGAAGGATGGAATACACTTATTCAAAATGGGCAAAAATGGAGAAGGAGAGCCATGTGGTGATTTAATGAACACAAAATGACAGAACTAGTGTGTGCTAGATGGAAAAGGTGAGCCATGTGGTGATTATATGAACACAGAAAGACAGAACTAGAGTGTGTGCTAGATGTGAATGGGAGGAACCAAGATGACTAAGATAAAAGCCTCCTAAGAAAGGCTAGCACCAAAAACGGAATCCTTGATCATGATCATTCAGCAGGAGAAAAATGTGATTTCTCAATCTTTTCTCTCAACTTGATGTTTGAGCCTCACCATCGCAACCTGTACTGCTGCTGCCACTGGAAGAGGTAGAACTCTGTATAGACTGTTGAGCACCAGAATGAGAAACAGGACCACCCTTTGAGAACATTGAACCAACTGAACCGCTTGAAGTGCTCATAGAAGACGTTTGGGTAGAGAAGGCATCCTTGGTGGATCCAGATACAAGTTCGGGCTTCAAATCTGAGGACGAGGAGGATGGAGCCAAAGTACCAACAGAAGATCCCACAGGGTAAGGCGCAACTGGCATATCAACGAGAGAAGATGCCGAGGGACTATAGCTTATTCCCATTGGATGGTCAAACTTGCAAGAAGGTCCAAATTTGCACACTCCATTTTGTGAATAGTGAGAGCAAATTGGTGCACCCTAAGAACAATTAAGAGAACCCAAAAAGAATGATCTTCCAGTCTGAGCACAGCACAGTTAATATTAAAGCATACAATTCACTCTGTTAAAATATTAATACACCTCGGTAAGAAACAAAAGTGTTTAAGATATACTATATAGAAGTAAATCAAAAAACAAATCAATTCCTGGCTCATGCAGTAAGCTTAAAAACTAGTCAAACTACTATATTAGCACGGTCATTCATGGAACTGATCACCAGATAGCTGATGATTAACTACTGGATGAATCTTGCCAAAAGATCAATGGACTACTAGGAATCACTTCACACAAATAGAACCAGAATGCAACATCAACTTGGCAATGCAGATCTCAACGGATGCGTGAATAACATAAAAAGGATGATGATATGGCATCACAAAGTCAAGAAATATGTTCTTTAATCGCCGATAAGCAAGGCATTCAAATATAGTCCATAATCCAAGTTGACATGTGGAAAAAGCTAAAATTTTGACTTTCCAACACAACGAACAAAAATAAGCATAAGAATAGAGCAGGAACCAAGCATTTCTCACCATCCGCAGTAAAGCATACTGTTTATAGCAAAGGTGCCAGTCGGGCGGATTTAGGGGGGCGCAAGGGGGTTCACCCGAACCCCCTTCGCCGAAAAAATACACTGTATATATAAGGCAAAATCTATTACCTTTATATATTAAGTTTTGAACCCCCTTAACACAATCCAAAAGTGTAGTTTAGTGGTCAAGGGGGTTCAAAATCTACATAAAGTCATGAGTTCAATTCCCACTAAATACAATTTTTTTTTTTAAACCCCCTTCGTGGAGATCCTGCCTCCGCCACTGGTGCCAGTAAATGTGCCACAACAATTTTTAAGTGTACAATAGTAACTAACAACTCAAACTTCAGATAATATCAGTGTATCACATATTTACAAGGCCCCAGTTGAGGTGAAAAACCCTGGTGAATAAGGATGAATTTTTGCAGCTTGCACTGTATTCTGGTTGCTTATGAACAATACAAAGTTTAACCACTTTTTGCTGCACTTGAACAAGTAATTGTATAGATAAACACCATGAGACCACGGCAATATAGAGACTATTTTAAGTCTCTTCCACGTTTTCTGTAATTTTTAAGCATTCAAAAGATACAAAAGTTTCTGACTGAAAATGTAGTATAAGTTATTAGACAGCTGTGTCATTAACTAGGAAGTGGATGACTTTGACTTGGAAGAACATTTAAAATACTCCAACTCAACTTCAGAATCCTAAGATTTAATTTGTCAAAGAAAATCTGCGAAGTTCCGTGCAACCTAGGAGATGGCACTTAGAGGCTGCAAATGGTGACAAAAGCCATGCAGCTGTGTGTGAAACAGACCACTGCAAAGATAGCATTCCTAATAGCTAATTGACAAAGGTTTCTTAAATTTCAAGAAAGATGTATTGAAAATAAAAATTACTTTTTTCACTTGAATTTACTATCATAACAGCTAGGACACTACTTCATGCTAAATAACACTGACAACATATTAAATTGATTTTAATGTTAATCAATTAAAAAATGGAGTTCACTGTCCTTTTTTCAATATTCCACTGCTATGGAGAAAAAGGTGGTAGAGACAAAAGTACTCCCATCATAGAGAATGCTTTAGTACAAAAATTAGATGGAAAACACACCTAAGTTCAGTTGGATTCCTAAGCATATAGCTACAGTTCCAAGAGAATGATTATTAAAGAACCATGGATGTTAAGATGAAAGTGCAATCATATAAATTAGACAATATCAGAATGATCACCTCTGACAGAACGTGCAAGCAACACACATAGAGAAAAAGACGAGTGAAGGCCGCTTGAGATGATTTGGTTATATCCTATGCAGACCTACAAATGGATGTGCACCATACAAGATCCGAATGATCACCTCCAATAGAAGGTGCAAGCAACACACATAGGGGATAAAATGAAAGAAAGAGATTATCTGGTTAAGTCCTATGTAGACCTACAAATGTACCCACCTCTAGAGTGAAGCCATGATGATTGAAAGTGTAACGAACCAGCTAGACCTAAGATCTCAAGGGAGAAATTGTCTCAAAAGACCTGTAATCTCTCGAATCCATACTTCGCAAAAAAATAGAATACAATGAGAGCAGATGATCAATACAGGCAATAGCAACCTGTTGGAATTAATGCTTAAGATGTTTGGTATGCTTATGTTAGGTCCAATATTTGCTGGAAGTCTTTTTACTTAGTGTAACATAACCCTAAATTATTAAATATTGGAATGAAATGGTCCAACAGAACCAAAATGAATGGTGAGGATTCACATAGTTGCCTAACTAGCTTGCAATTGAGGCATAGCTGTTTTTGCTGTTGTTTCATAGCTTCTCGAATAGATTCTTTTTACCAAGTACTCACAAAGTTTATAAGTACTTACACTAAGCCAGTGCGACAAGGTGTAATTACAGATTATGCAGAACCCTTATGTATCAAAAATTGTATCTACATCATGTACAATAGCCAAATCTCNGGGGACACAACACTAGTTTAAAAAATTCAAATGAAACAGGTGCTTATTGGAACATCAGCATTACTCAGGAAACATGAATCAAGAAAAGTGTTAAACATAACACCAATAAAAATGCTAGGAGAGATCGACAGAGCACTCTTGCTATCATCTCATTGTCAATATTTTTTCCGATAGAACATGAAATTGAAAATTTGCACTTAGAAAGGCTGAGGAAATGTTGGTTGATGACCTGTTATAATCTAATTAACTTGCAAGCAAGACCAAAAGAATGAAACATAAACGTGCAAAGAAGAATCTCAATCTAAAGATTGAAAGCCAAGTTGCTTACAGGACGAAGAGGAAGACCCATCGCACTAAGGATAAAACCTGATTTTGGTCCACTCCACTCAGGTGGATGATGGTATCTACATGAAGATCCAAATTTGCAATCCCCATACTTCATGTAATACTGACATTCAGGTTGCCCAGGCCTTTCTGGGAACGCATGTTCCTTCTGGATGCTGCCTGAAGGACCTATAGAAGCAGTAAGAGACGTGTGC